CGCAGGAACACTAACCAATCCTCTTGACTCCGTGTGTGAGAACCCTATAATTCTGTGGCACGTGCGGAATCAGAGTTAAACTAGTGACTCCGACAGCAGCTGAGGCTACACGCAGATGGGTCCGTCAGTATTGCCGCAGTCTCTTGCGAGGTCTGGGAGCGTAACTTGCGAGATGCGCTCGGGACGACTGCAGATTGGCCTTGTCAGGTTTGGCTCGTTTTTGCTTGCCTCATGCTCTCTTCGCCTTGGATTCTTTGTGGTGCTGCAGAGCTCCGCTTGCCTCGGCCAGGGTCTCAAAAGAGGGGGGGGGGGGAATTTCAGGAGGAAGAGCTCCCTCGCCGCTCGGCCGCCGAGGCTCATCTCCCTCGGCTCTCTTTGCCTCGCACTTGGGAACCTCTTTGCCGCCCAAGAGGCCCAGGGCTCACGAACGCTGAAGAGAAGTGTGCAGCATGCGAGCTTCGGTGATGCCCCAGCCAGGATGCATCGACCGGGGGCGCCAATGGTTGCTGCTGGTGTAACCTGCATGGGACTTCCTGCGCCTGCACTGGATCCCCTGTAGCGGAAGCCTCAGCCGTGCCGCATCCGTGAATCTGGCCGTGGCCGTGACCCTTGCTTCGCGCAGTCTCGGATCTCCCTTGCCCTTGCGATCGCTCGCCCACGTCGAAGCTGCCTCGCCGGCGGGAAGCCCAGCCTCGCTCGAGCTGCCACTCGTAGGGGCGTAGCGTAGCGCGTGAGCCTCTCTGCAAAAGACTCTGCATGGCGCCGCGCATCGCTTCGCTGCGCTTCGCTTCGAGGCTTCTGGATTTGCTTCCCTGTCTTCTTCCTCGCCCACTCGCAGCCTCGCGCGACTGGGGTCTTGGCCTTGGTGTCGCAACCTTCGACCAGTGCAAGAACCGCGATGGCTCATGGGCAGCGGTGCAAAGGTCAGCCCAGCTTCTCATGGGCAAGCTACGATCGGAATCACCAGCATCTGCAGAGAGCTTGGGTAAACTGTGACGGCAGTCTAGTTTTCTTACATTATGCAGAGGTGGCGTATAGTTTCTGGCTTTCCTGAAACTCCAGGTTTCTGGTCATGCACTTCCTGCTTCTCCTCTCCTTCTCCGGAGCCCTGCGTGGCCGGGCCTGGAGCTTGCAGCGCCCTTTCTGCGCTCGACCTGGTGCCTCAGGTTGGGCCCGCAGCTGCCTGTCCACCACCTGTTTTCTCTTGGTTTGCCGATGCTCCTTCGATGCCAGATCCTCGGCAATCCGTGACCAACACCGGGCAGTAAATGGCAGTAGGTGCTGTTCTGGAGGTTCCACCTGACCTGGTCCGCTCGTTTCTGCATCCGGCGAAGCATGTCTGGAGCGCGGGCCCCGCTCCGCTAGAGGGTTTTGATTCACAACTTGTACTCCTTTGGGAGCTGTCACGACATTGTCGTCGTGACTTTACTTCCCAATGTCAGATCAGTCTCTCAAGAGTCTCTAGAGTGCGTCTATGATTCCTTACTTTCCCCGAACATTAAGATACCCATCCCATCGCCTTCTGTTGAAGCCTGTCGTAAGGCTGACAGCTTCCGTCCTGGGCCTTGCCCAGTTGGAGCCGTTGCTGGCGTCGGACTCCCTGCAGCGAGTGCTATGCAGCCGTGCAAGCCTACACTCGTTCAGTCTCGATTGTCCATTTTGGAAGGTCGCGTGGCCCCGGACAGCTGGGCCTACCTTTGCCCGCATTGAAATCTGCACATGCAGGCCCCGTGAGAATCCGATCTCGGTTTTGTGGGGCGATCTTGTCCCGCCCTGGCAAGGCCTTCTGCCTTCACCGAGGTGCACTCAGCTGGGAGCGTTTGTTACCTGTCAGCGAGCGCGACGCGAGCCTGACCATGCCACATGCCGCAAAGCATTGAGTCCAATGCGCAGGTCCTGCGCTTGACTTGAAGTGCCACTGTTTGCAGCGGGCGTGGGCAGAACCGAACTGTTGCTGTTGGCATCGGATTCGGTCCATTTAGGCAGCGAGCTCTGCACGGGCAACCGCTGATGTCTTGCCTTGTTGTCTGCGCTGGCGAGGCTTCTCCTCATTTACCAGAGCCTTGTCCCATACGGGGAGTGCGGCCAGTGCAGCTGGTGGTGTTCGAATCGGTGGGCCTTGCGCCCAGCAGGCACATGTGAGGTGGCAAGTTGTCCTTTTTTCTTGTATGTGCTCTCGTTTCCTCCCTTCCAACTCCAACTGCTTGAGGCAACAACTACCAGTCTGTGGTGCCTTGCAGACTGGCGCACCTCTGTCGCCGCGATCACTCGCGTGCAGCTGACTTAGAAGGCCGCTGCTTGCATGCTACGCCCGGACCCGGGAACTGAAGAAACGACAAGGGCCGCAGACTCGCAGCTGATGGGACTGGGGGTCCGGACTGGATCTGTTGCTCCTGTGATCACACCATACTTGTATCACGGTTCTGCAGTAGCTCTCTCGTTCGTTGGCTGAGGCCTGGCCTTTGCGGTGGCTGTGTTGGGATTTGGACACTTGGACGTCTTGCTGCTGCTGCAATCGCTTTCCTGTGGCTGCCTTAAAGGCTGCAGAGATTTCTCGTCGCGCAGAAGTTCGCCGTTCCGGGACTTCGCTTCAGCTGTCGCCCGCGCTTTGACGATGGCACCGAGGCCTCGAGCTGGCATCGCCGACACTGGATTTCGCACATCCCGGCTTCACACTTTCGATGCAAGGCGCTAGCCGCTATAGTGCATCTCGTTGGAGCATCACTGGGCGGCCTTGGGCCTTCGCAGCCTTTGGACATCTTTGGACCATAGGCTTTGCCTGATGCGAATCGCCCATTTCCGCCTCCAGCAAGGCTGGGAGTGCTGCGCTTTGCCGTGGTGACTCTGCCTCGTGTCAACATGCATATACTTGCATGCAGCCCGGAAAGAGGTGCACTTCACGTACACCAACACTTACATCACGTCGGAAGTCTCCAACACCAACCAACTGCAGTTTTATGCCGGATGCTTGGTGCTAGTTGGTACTAGTACTGCCCAGATGCCATGAACACTTCGTGGATCTTGAGGTCAACAACCAGCGGTCCTTGAGCTTAATGCAGAAGCCCACGGGTCCTACAACCGGCAACGTTGGCGGAGCCCTGCACGGTCTCTGGCGGCTTAGACGGATTGGCAACAAGGGCTGACCCCAGCTGAAACACGTCGCGTGAACAAAGGTACTCCGACCACATGTTGCACATCTCCGATCGTCGGCTGAAGAAGAGTATCCACCCCCTGGTCATGGACTTGGCTCCTTTCTGTACGTGCTGACAGCTGGAAACTCTTTCTCCAGGCCACGGGCCTAGACGAGAGGGCATCCGCCGCAGGCGCCGTGGCTCGCAACGGCTCATCTTCGCGAGGAGTGGTTTCAGCCAGCTCGGCTTGGTCACAGGAGTTGTCGCGAGTGACGGTCAAGGAGCTGTCAGCTTCCGAGAGTGAGGTCTGGTGTACTCATAGATTCATAGATACTACCAGTTGTTGGACCGGTCCGAGGCGTGGATCTTGCGGCAGCTGCGACCAGTGTCGTACTACTTCACGCTGCGGCCTCGGATTGTTGTTTGGATGCTGCACAGCAGAGCTGTCTCATCGAGGCGTGATGCCGAAGCCAAGCATCCACGCTTTGGCTTCATCGCTGATGAAGTTGCCGAAACCCTGCCAGAGGCTACACAGTGCTCCACCTGCGAGGGCCCGAAGCGAGCCGGTAAGTGGAGGTTATCCAGGAGTCCTCCGACGAACGAAAGATCAAAGGCATAGCTTACCAGGACATGGCGCAGGGAAGATTAGTTTCCGAGAATGAGCCCAGCCGAACGCGCAAGCTGTCAGGACCTCATCGCAGTCATGGTGGCTGGTGTTCAGCCCCATGCTCAGTGTTTGTGACATCCTGCAGGCTGCTCTTTTCATCGAGTCTTTCGGAGGTCGCTGACCTCCCGGCTCGAGCAAACAGAAGGCGTGTCACGCACGCTTTCGGCTCGGCCGATGCCCAAGGAGAGCGACAAAACGGCTCAGCAGGTCCAGCATTTCACTTCGCTCAAGGCTCGCAACTCTGGAGTCCAGCTTCCTGCAGTGGAAGGCAGCGGTCTGGCTTGGTCTGGGGTGCTCACTCTGTGAGTCTTTGTGATCTGGGCTGAGAGGACTCGCTCTCGCGGCAGTGCTCGGATTTGGAGGCCGGACCAGCAGGAGAGCGCCAAGCCCCAAGGGCCCCAACGGCACCCGAGCCCAGACCCCGGAGCAGGCTCGGCTCCTCTCCGTAGAATCCTGGAGAAGCATCTTGGCAAAACTCAGCTCATGGCGGTCGCTTTGCCTGCCTGAGTCTGAGGGGTCGTCCGTGAGTCGCCACACTAGCTGAACGTGGTCTTCGAAGCGGCTGCACCCTTGGAATGGGATCACTGGAGCACATTCCGGACGTTGTATCAGCAAAAGGCGTGATTACGCAGTGATGGACGCGGGCCTGGTGCTGGAAGCCACTTCGACGGAGGGTGCTTTTTTCAAAAGGCATGTCCGAGCTGAGCTTGCTTTTTCCAAGATCAGATGCCCCCCATCCGAGAGTCGAACAGGCATTCCTGGCTTCGGCTGCGCGCAGCGTGGATTTGAGGCCAGAGCAGAAGCATGCCACCAACACGGCTATCGTGTAAGCCCGTGAATGTGCTGAAGTATTTTGCACAAAGCAGTCAGCCTCGAGCTTTCCTTGCCACGTTGGTGCTTAAGCAAACGGAAATAGAGGAGTCGCACCTCCATGTGCAAAGAAATCCCAGCAAGCCTTTACCACGCGAAGTGGCCCGACACTAGCGCCGCGGGAGTTGCCTGCACCCCTGCGAAGAGCTTCAGCATATTGCACCTGCAGCTGTGATGCTCCCCTGCCTGCCCCGACGGGACGTTTCCCTGCTCGCTTTACATCCACGTCCTACCCAAGCACCCCTCGTGTCTGCAAACGCGTTTTCGCCATCCGCGCAGCCGTAGATTCCTTTGGGGTCTCCCTTTTAGGTGGTGAGGCATCCTCGGCAATCATGAACCAGACACGTGCTTCCATCGTCATTGTTTTGAAACGGGCAGCTGCTCTTTCCAAGCTGGTACACAGGCCAAGGTCTTCGTGATGAATATGCACGTCGAGAAGGTCGTGCGATTGTGCTGGACGACCATGACAATTTCACGTTGCCTGCTGCAGGGCACCGCAGGAGCCATCCAGTCGGCTTGAAGATCACGGTGACGAGGAAGTCGCACGTGGCCAAGATCAAGGACGAGTTCAGGACTGCTCAGCTTTCGCGTGGGGGTCTCGAGATCAAGTCTCTGATTGCCAGGCGTGTGGAGGAGCCAGGCCAGATCTTCAGTGCGGCCGAGACCGTGGAGCCGCGGAGGATCACCGGATCAGTGGGTGCGGCAAAGCCGCAATCCCAAAAAGCTCGAAGGAAAACAGAGTTGACATCAGAGCATTGCACAACATGCTTGCTGCCTCAAGATTGAAGAATTGAAGAGTACAGTCGCTGCGACAGCGAACAGAGAGGCAGCTTCCATTCCAAGCGTCGCCGCGAGGAGCGGCCGGGCTCCAATGTCCCAAGCGGGAGCTCTTAGACAGTTCACTGGTCGCTTTGCGGTTCCTGAGGTGTCTCCGAGCGGTGCCAGGCAAGGGCAGGTTCAGGTTGGTCCCTTGGCAAATGACCAGACCTCTCCTGCGGCCTTGAGTCACGCCCGCAGATATGACATCGGCTGAGATGTAGAAAGGTTGAGTCCCAAAATCTTTGCATGGGCCATTGTATGTTAGTGGCTTCACAGAGTTTGTACATCAGTGTTGCATCGTGATTGATCCGCAGTTCATGGAGAGCCATCAGAATGAAGCTCTGGAAAATGCCAAACGCATTTTGGGAGAAGACTGTTGGGCGCAGACAGGGGATGCCTCTGCCTCCGCTGCTTCAGACTGGCTTACAGTGCAGCGAGGCAGAGACCTATTCTTGCCCGGTTGGGGAGGCTTCGATGTACCTGAAGCCTTTCATGCCTGTCAAACCGCTGGCGTGAAGGGCATCCCGAGCGTCGCTGAACTGAGGAGCCTCTCGAAGTATGTCAGTATGATATCGCTTCTTTCTCTTTCCAGCTGGCAAAACAATATACGCAGTGTGCTTGTCCCAAAGCAAGACCTCCCAAACAGTAACCAGTGATGCTGTCCTGTCTGTGTGCAGCCCCGGACTTCCAAGCATGAAAACCTTTACGACCGTCGTATTGTTTAGGTGCAAGGAAGCACGGAGGTCAATATCTGAACCGCAGCTTTCGCAGTTGAGAGTGGAGTAGTCTGAGTCGGCACCCCTGCCTTGGCTACGGTTGCCTTGCAAAGGTAGAAGTGTTTTCCGTATTGCTGCTTGGGGCTTTTTCCGGCGCACGGTTGAAAGCATGCTGCGCATGGCTGAGGTCACGGATATTTGGCGAAGTTCTTTCCCGCTCTGCCGGACAAGCTCGGAAGCAATCGCATTCAACGTTTGCTTCTGGCTCCCGAGAGCTTGCTGGCCCGATATGTCGTTCAGCACAGGTCCTTCTGGGCTTGTGGCGAGCACCTTAACAGACTAGATGAAGTCGAAAGGCACTTCGATGAGATTTGCACAGGCAGCAGCGCAAAAGTGTTGAAGGAGGAGCCACGCAAGCTTCTGAATCGCCTGGCTCGTGACCAAGCTGTTGCAGATCATCCGCTGGTGCATTTCACACATCTGGCTTCGCAGATTTCAGCTGGCTTCGACGAGTCTCTTGGGCTCTGTCAAAGCGAGATGCCGTGCTTCGAGCTGTCTGTGCTTCTGGACTCACATGCTGTCGTACGAGCAGCACAGGAATTGAACAACTGCGCAGCGGACTACGTCAGGGACATCCGGCAGAAGCGATGTGCCCTTGTCGTTCTTCGATCTAAGAAGTTGCTGGCAATGGGCGAGTGGGATTTGCATGGCCGCCGTTGGTCCCAGATCTCAGAACACAGCGATGAGCCAGTTCGCGAGGAATGGCTAACTATGTTTGAGCAGATGGAGGGTGACTGGCTCTTCCCCTCGATCGCATCATTGTGCTTGCCTGACCTGTCGGGCACAAGCCCATTCTTGCAAGACATGTCGGAAGATGTCGTTTCAATTTTCAGCCCTGAGGGGCTAGAGTGCTTGGAGCGCATTTGCAGCACCGCGGGCGATCAGCTGCGACCCTGCCTCGGGTGGCCATCTCTTCTGCCCGGCTGTTGCAATCTGGAGGCTGCCACAGCACTGCTTATTTGGACGGTCGCAGATGTTCTTTGTGTGGAGACATCGAATTCAGATGCATTGGAAGTTGTCGACATGCTGCTGATGCGCCGTGCTGACCCTCAGGCCATGACGGATCAAGGATGGGCTCCCTTGATGTTCGCGGTGCTTTCTGAGCATGAAGAGCTCGCTGCCAAGCTGCTGGAGGGAGCTGCAGATGTCGACGCCAGGAGTGGACAAACGGGGAGAACCGCCTTGATGCTTGCCTGTGGCACGTGCCAAGCAAGCATGGTGAGATTGCTACTCACGGGTAAAGCAGCGGTGGACTCTGCTTCCCGGATTGATGGGCGAACTGCTTTGCTGATGGCAGCCGGCAGCTTAGTTTTTCAGGCTCTGCGGATTGAAGCAGTGTGGACACTTGCAGATTCTGCATGGCTATTTGGCTCTTCATGTTCCAGGCATTCAAGATCGTTCTCTAGAGCTTTAGAGCACCTGGCGCGAGAGCGGAGAGAAGAATCGCCTGCTGAACAAGCCGAGGGCTACACATGATGATCGGATTCTGTACCGTGTTGCACGTAGCGACATAGCATAGCTCACGAGCCTGCAGTTGGCATGCTGCTGCCTCCACCTCCATGGCAAGCAGTCCTTGGAAATGGCCAAGCCTTGCACTCATGCTGGTGCAGCTTGCCGGCCGTGTTCAATGGGCGTGACCACTTCTTAGTCTTAGTCCTTTTTCAACCTGCCAGTCGGCCAGCCGAGGCAAAATGCAATCACGCCCATCGTGTTCAGATACGTGCCCCGCCTCGCGTGCCAGAAAAGTTTGCAATCGACATTCCGAGCTCCTTCCAAGGCCACAACTGGTGCTAGAGAAGAGGATAGATTCAGCACCGTGGTGTCCATCGGTTGCCAGGACCTGGGAGAATGCATCCGTTTTGCAGTATCACCTTCCACCTCTTGTTTTTTCGTGAGGAGGGCCTGAAACTGGTGATGTCCTTGGGCTTGGTGATCTTGGAGCATGGCGGTCTGCGAGGAACGCTCAAAGCGTTACGCGCAATAGAGTTTGGCGACTCTATCCGACTGGCTGTGCCGGCGCTTCTCTTCGTTTTCCAAAACGCAGCAAGGCTCCCAGCATTGCTCTTCCGTTCTCTTCCACCGAAGTAGAGCTAGTTCGTAACGAGTTGGCGGGCCTGCCAGCGGCTGGCCAAGGCGATGCAGCTTGCCACGGTCCATCTCCCGGCAGCTCTTTTCCAAGTATTGTGGCAGGGGAAGACGACCTTTGATCGCAAGAAGAATCCGTGTAGGTTCTGTGTAGCGGCACAGCGACTGCTGCTGCTGCTGTTGCTAGTTGGACTACTGCTACTGCTACAGCTGCTACTACTACTACTACTACTACCACTACTACTTCTACTGCTACTATTATTACAACTGCTGCTACTGCTACTGCTACTGCTACTACTACTACTACTACTACTACTACTACTACTACTACGCGCATAGCCCGGGGTTTGCCCGAGAAAC